CAACAGTTCTTCCTGGAATCCCAACAATTAAACCTACGAGTTCTCCAAATCATACTAGCAATAAAACCAAGGTATTGATAGACTTGTTCTAGTAGAATTATTTATATTAGTAAAATCTATCATAATCATTTATATAACTATCTTCTTCAGCGCCACTGTAACTGATAATAAACTGATGTTCATATAAACAGTTGTGCAAAAAGATAAATTTAACACCGTAAAAAAGTAGGTGAAATAGCTTACTGACGTTTCGGACGTTAATCCTTCGACGGAGTAAAAGGGAGAAGGATTAGCGTCAGCAAATTATTTCACCTTTTTTTCACGGTCTTAAATTTATCTTTTTACACTACCGTTTCTTTAAAAACACCGACGCAGCTCGCACTAGCGCTAGTTCCAACATTGATGTTCACACTGACACTTGTTCAACCTGAGACTGAAAAGTGAACAACTAGTGTAATCATGCAATGCTGTTTATTTTTGTCACCATGATGATGTACTCTACCTGGAAATCTTGATAATGGATTGATGGCTAATTCATTGATACCTTTTTAAAGCTACATTAATTGCTGATTTGCAATGTCTACGTGTTCATATAATTTCTCTCATAAAAATGGATAATTGCCCAAGGAATTTACAGAGAAACTTCTAACAACATAAAGTTTCCCTTTAGATTTCAACAAAACATCTGAGCAATAAGCCGACTTCCGATGTATTTTAGTTGACTAACCATCGGTTAAAGCCAAATGGGTTTTTTGCTACTTATTTATATTGTTGCAAAAGAGTTATGTTTTGCAATATCATTCAGTTGATGGTAATTTTACCGAGTGGAGCAACTGGACACAATGTCTTCTGCCACCTTGTGGTCAACGGAAAACACGACATCGAGATCGTTCTTGCATCAACCCACCACCTGCTCATGGTGGAAAGAACTGTACTGGGCCTTACAGTGAGACACAGAATTGCACTCTGACTCAGCCGGCATGTCCTAGTAAGTGTTAAATTCAATGAGACATCAAGCCTTTTGACTAGACTTCCGAGTATTTCCTCCTTTGCCGCCACTTTTCTTTGAAAGTCTCCTCACTCAGCTTGACAAGAATGATCAAAATGAATTCGGAATTGTTCTCGAAAAAACCGCCGATAAAAAG